TGGGTAAAATTTCGCTAGATTATCGATGACAAGCTACCTATAAAAAATCTCAGTCTTGTAAAGACTGAACCAAGGAGTTGTTTTCAGACTAATGGCAATCTACGCTTCTATCCAAACAAAACATCTTTCCTTCTGTCTCCATAATCAGGCTCGCTCAATTCTTCTTCAGCAGCCTTGCGAAGAGCAGCAGCACACCCGTAGCGCCGATACTTATCCCCGAGTACAGCTGTATGCCCAGATACAATCCCGTATGATCCAGAATAGCCCCTGCAACAGGCGAACCGCACAAGGACCCCAAGCCACACAACACTGAGTACATGCCCATTCTTGTTCCCAAGGTCTCAAGATTCGGAGTGAGGGTGGTCAAAGCAACAGCGGGCAGTGCAACAAAAGCGCCGGAGAAAAACCCATATAAGACGGCGAATACAATCAAGCCACCCGAGTCCGAAATAGCGATCCAGCACAGCGACAAAGGCCCACTGATAATGGCACTCCCCAGGAGGATGCTCAAAAGACCAAGATGAGGGGCCAGAAGTCCCGGAATACTTCTCCCTGGAACGGAAGCAGCATTGAGGATGGAGACCAGATAGAAGGCAAGTGGTTCTGCCATAGCGTGCTTCTGGATGGCATAGGCTTCAATGTAGAAGATGGGGTTGAAAAAGCCAATGTAGCCAAAGAACATGGCCAAGCAGAAAAGAGCGTATGGGGTCTCTTTAAAGGCGGAGAGTTCTGTTAGGACCCGTCTGTGGTTTGGTGCTTGACGCACGCACATGACGCACAGGGAAAATGCACTTGTTACAAGAGCTATAAGTCCGAGGACTCTCGTAGACCATCCAAATCCGATGCGAGGCTGGAGTTGACGGAAAACGATGGGATAGAGAACGCCGCCCAGACTGCTTCCGGACGCGGCGAGGGCGATAGCGATGGGTCGCCGCGAGGAGAAGTACTGCGGGATTATGGCTACGGATGGGATGTAGAGACATCCGTTTCCAAGGCCGATACAGAACGCTTGCGCGAGGAGGACTTGCCAGTATGAGGTGCAGACGCTGAGGGTCATGAATCCGACGACGATGAGGGTGGAGCCGGTCAAGACGAGGATATAAAAGTATCCCAAGTCGTAGAGGGGACCGGTGATGACCCCAATCAGGAGGAGAAGAAATGCCTGGACTGCGCCAATCCAGGAGATAGCTGAGCTGGACTGGGTCTTCAGCAGGTCGATTTCATAGTATGTCTGGAAGACACCGAATGTGTTGACAGTTCCCCTGTGGTTCGTGACGGTTGTATGTTAGTAGAGCGTTCTGCAACGCAGTGGGGACAACATGAGATCGGTACCATGAGTTGAAGAAGAGGAAGAAAGATCCTGCCACCTGCAACCAGGCCCGGAGACCACCATTCGGCGGCATAGTATAGGCTGTGTTCTGCTCGGTGGTATGCGAATTGACCCCTTTGATTGGCCCGAGCTTTTCCATGGTGTCATTCTGCTGGTGCGACATTTTGGTTGTCATACAGAGGAGAGAGGGATGATTGTTCAAGATGATGCCTGGAGGATTCGACTGCTTTGATATTGTTGGTATACATACTGCTTGGGGCCCGGCTCTCGGCTTCGGAGTCAGATGTGGTTCGGAAACAATGACCAGCTCAACAGCCAAAGTCGGGCCCAGATTATGTCTTTCTTGCTCAAGCTGCCAGCCCTCAAAGATATTATTTACGACTTGCGCGCTCGGAGATCATTCAAAACCTTAGTATATTAGTGGCGTACCTTGAATGGATTCAGAATGAGGCTTCCTGCGGGAACATGGTGTCGCTAATCCAAAGGATTCTGAGTCGAATCTTGGAGCGAATACTTCATCCGCCAGGAATTGAGCAATCGCAGCCTATTGTACCGTTCCTGGAGAATGGATTCCCCGACTACCCGCATTTGGAGCTACTAAACACGTTTGACTGGATCGATTGGGAGGGGAGTATTGGTGGTTGATGTTTCAGGGCGTACCAAGTACCGATAGTCTATAGTCGAAGATTCACCACTTGTGTAGAAACCAGCAGTTAGTCAGTATGAGAGAACACGGAGGAGAGATATGGATAATGAAAAATTGTTCAAGAAAATCAAATGGGTAGGGCAGGATTAATCAAGCGTAAGCGGACTACTTGTTCGAAGAGTCATCTGCGTAGTCATTCAAAGCACCACACCCCCATGACTGTGCAGACCACCAATAGCTCTATCAGCGGTATCTGATCCCTCTATATAGCCAACCTCTGAACCATGTCAAATGATGTATCAAATGTTCCCTTTCTAATGCAAAAACACGACCGTAAACCAAAGATGACTACACCAGTCACGCCCTTCTCCCTTCTTTCTAATCCCACCCTCAGTATGTGCCTAGCAATGAACCTGATATTCCCACCACACTAGCTAACCACCAAGCCAAGAGAGCTTGGGCGCTCTCCAAACCCTGTTTTGGGACGATCCTAACCCCCTCGAAGTCGACTTGGTGTGTGGCGTCTACCGCGCCAACGAGGGGAATCCGTTCGTCTTGCCGGCTGCCCCCCCCCCAAGCACAGGAAAAGAAAAGAGTGTAGATTCCTAAGGAGACATAGATATGTACTATCACATCCCATTCCGCCCCTTCCCATAATTGGGTGCCCGACCGACTGTGGATTACGTTAACTAGTTGCCCCTGTCCTAGTAATATTCTCAGATTTCATGGGTTCATATTATGGATTTAGAGAAAGTGTTACTTTACACACGGTTTAGAGAGCCGGTTCCGGTCACATAGGAGCTGCTCAGGGATTGCTACTCCAATTGGGTAAACAAATGGGATATCCATTGCGGCAGCATAGTTCACAGTCACTACTAACTATTCCGCCCTCAGTGAAAAATTAAGAGTTGACAGGTCAAGACGATGACAAAATAACACTTATTATCTATGTGAAGCATAATTTATGCGTTTGATAGTTGAAATGGTGCGTGAGTAAGTACTGATGCCTCACCCAACCATGTGCATCGATCGTGATGAATCATTATTCATGCTTTATAGAACGTCGGCTATAATTATACGCGGGCAACTTCGGCGCAGGCCTCCATCTTTATGCAACAGCGACACTGTTCTTGGTCATCCCTTCCCTGAATCCTGCTAGATGGTACGCGAAAAGTCGGCCTGCCCAATATACAACGCCAATGATGGCCGGAGGGTGAGACTCCTTAGCATTCAGGTCAGGTCTGTTAGGTTCAAGGTGTCTAATGTTTTGGATCGCACGATATGGCTTTCGGTCCGGTTCTGCCGTGAAACGGGCTTGTGGTATAGAAAACAATCAGAATGCAAGCAGTAATCAAGAGTGCGATAAGAAAAAAGGGCATAGCAATGACAAATCCTAGCAGGAGCTCCCATCCAAATATAGTCGCTCAAAATCATCATCTTCGATATCGGAAATGGTCGCCTCAGGGGACGTCACGTACGTTGCATCCTGAAAAGAGAGACCGTTGCTGGTGTCCATGGTGTATATAGGATTCTCTTCAGCTGATAATTTTGGAAACGAGGCTGCTAGCGGATTATATGAATATCCTACATGACTATCGTGCCCATCGAACATGTTTAGCTCGATGCGTTGGCTATCGCCGAAAAGAAACTGTGACGGATAACCAGTATTACTGGCTAGATGTCGCTTGATGACAGGAGAGTGCCAGCCTACAAGAGGATCGATTCGGCCGTAAGCATCCGATAGCGGTTCAATATTCTCTTTGTCCGTAGTGAAACGGGAAAGCCTCTCTGCAAACTCTGAGATATAATTGCTGGAAAGTACCGAGCTAGGGGTGCGAGTTGTGATAGCTTCTTGTTGCAGGAAGAGCGCATCAGAAGATGCAACTAGTCCAAAGTGCAAACCATCACCACAATGTTGGTCTGAAATATTTTGGTTTGGTGTGTCACAGAAGATCTTTAACCCAGTGCGCGACCTAGACTCAGGCCCATTGAATGTCAATGCGAAGTCGTCCGCGCTCTCTCCATGAGTTAGTTGATTACCACCACTTGGCGCTTCTGGGGAGGTGGCTCGCATGAAATATGAATCTCTGTGGTTCAAGTCCTGCCCAACGGTGATCGGGACATGTTTAACTGCTTTCTTCTTCCGCTTCCTGTCCTGTCCACGTTGAATGTTGGCGTCGGTTTGAGAGAGGGCACGTTTCGAACGAGTTGATCTCCGCCTTGGTATGGGTGTTTCCCCTTTTAGAGGACTACTGTCCTCTACATTGCCAGAGATCACACGCTGTTTCCGTAAGATTCCGGTAGGGGAAAATATGAGTTCTGTAGGCTCAACACCCATGGAAGTCTTCTCCATCATCCTAAGAGCACTTTCATCCTTCTTCTGATTGCGTTTGCGCCTCATTTGCGCGGTGGCCGAATCGAAGATATCCATTCCCGGCCAAAGAATCCCTTTGAGTCTAGCGATCTCATCCACCCTTTCCTTGTCCACTTCGCTCTCGGTGTCATCAACAAGGAGATCGTAACTTAATAGTTGTCGATTTAGCAACTGCGAGGCCATTTGCGCTGTGTGTCCCAACGTTTTAGACCAACTAGGCGTGCATTCCAAATCAAAGCCTCCCTCATCGTCTGAACCAAACACACGCTCTTGCTTCCACTGGCAGGCCGCGGCTTCTGTGGAGATTTGAGAACCAGGCGTAGGGTGCAATAGATGGCTCGATTCTGCGTTTGCTTGCACATCGCGATTTGGAGAAGCGACCCCAGTGACGCAGTCCGCAGAGACATATGTGCCTCTGTCGCTATCATCATGCTCCATATACATACCTGACGTAACGAGGCGTGGGTCTAAGTAATCAGGAAGCGCGTTGCCATGTGGCGAGCGTACCGGCCCTGTAGGACTCTTGTGCCCATGATCTTCCTTTGCAGGGCACGTTTTGTCATGAGGTGCAGCTGTTCCGTGGATCCTTTTCCTGCGAGCATCTTTCGAGGCTAATCGGTCAGAGAGTAATTTCGCAAGGTTATTAGCCTTGTACCATCGATCGTATTCATCGAGGAGGATAACTGCTTGGGGTTCTTGATGACTGCGGACTTGTAATTTAAAGTAATGAGAAAGGTGAGCCTTGGATGAAACGTGAGTCAACAAATGGGACACATCACTAAATTTGGGTTTTTTGGGGCATATGTTGCAGAAAAGTGCAGCCGCATCCATCGTAGATGACCTTGAAGGAAAGTGAAAGAGCCAATTAGGTCGAGATCAAAGAGGCAACAGGTTACTAGAGCTGCCAGGTGCAAGTCGATACATGCATAAAGCCTAAACAATCCAAATACTGGGCGAAAAGCAATATAGAAAGACTGGCCCTCGTGGCGGTAGACTGAAGATATCAGAAGACTTGCCCTGCAGAATCGAAACTGGCAGGGCAGGTGCTAGAATGGGGAGAAAGACATATTCTGTTCCACATAGGCAACTGGAGAAGGAACTCCTCACAAACTTCCAACTGGGCAGGCACCTGCTTGAACACGACTAGACCGGACAAGGCACTGCACCGTGACCTCCACCAAAGTACATACAGTAGCATTTACTACTGAGAGCCTCGAGGGCGTCAGGCAAGAGCAAATGAATAAAATTGGGAACCTCAAGTCATCTCTCAAATGTACAATTTGAATTCGTATTGAAAGATAAAAGACACTGCTACCATTATGGGTTACATAAGACCATGGAAGATCATGTGCCACTGTGTCTTAACAACCTTTTTAACAGGTTATTGTGAGGGGGTATGAAGCGGAAATAAGTCACAGTGCCAATCATTCTTCTCCTGCCTTGTATCCCATAATCCATGAAATGAAGGCAAAATGGGTTATTAGATTGCAGGAGGTGCTAACTACGAACAATCGAGTAAAGTAACTGTTGTCACTTCGATAAGCACTTTGTTATTGCTTTCGGCATACAACTAGCCCTCGTTAGCGCCCCCCTGCGGTTATAGGAACTTGAAGACAGGTAACTCACTAAACAGGATCTACTTCTCCAACACCGTCATACCCCAGGAGACTCAACCCAGCGAGGGCAAAGTGTGTATGGAAAACGTCGACCATATTACCAGGCCGGTCTCCAAACCCACCATTCTCCGGGTCCTAGTTTGGGTTAGAAACACGACATTTGGTCAATTCAGTTGGAACTAACCTGGCAACGCAGGATAAACGCAGCAAGCTTGTCACCATTAATCCAGTGAAGCTTGTCGATCATGGCCAAACTGGCCCCAACCCACCAGCTATAGCATGCATCTTCCAACTTCTCCGGACGTCCGTTGAAGCCTCCATTATCCACCTGTCTTTCGCTAAGCCAACCACCCAAGCGGTCCTTATTAATCAAGTCCAATCGCCCGGCAATCGCCAAAGCCCCTACACAGGTGAAGACCTGTCCAGAATGTGACTCTGCACCAGGGTGGATGCCATAACCTCCATCCAGGTTTTCACATTTCTGGACATAGGCAACGGCCTTCGGGACATCAATAGTATCCAGGAGGCCTAATAGTGACAATGCATTGAACGCACCATACAAGAACCGTGTGTCCAACTCACCCCACTCGTCACCCATGAACGAGCCGGTTTCCTTGTCCTGTAATCCAGCGATGAAAGAGCCAACTTTCCGTTTGCCTCCAAGGCCACGCTTCTCCAATTCATCCACTGCATCCAGCATTACAAGGATTTGGACAGCAGAGACGGTGTACAGCATATGAGCGTCATGTCCAGGTGCAGCCCCAAACCCACCATTCTCACGCTGACAGGAGAGAACAAAACTGATCGTGTCTTCACGAGGCAAGGCTTGAGGACAGCCGAGAAGATGCAAGGCTGTTAAGCCCCAGTAGACCCCATTAAGCCGAAGATGCTCCGTGAGCCAATATTCAAGCTCATCCCTCCTCTAGCATCACCTGTCAACCATCTTCCCCATCACTAAAAGATGGTAAGAATGACGCACGCTGTCCAGATTTTTAATGTACTCTACATGTTTTTGAACACATAGATACTGGTCAGTCTGACCACCCCCCGAGACTAGGGACATAATTTACGCGGGGGTAGTGTAAGTTAGTAACTCAGTCACTAGCACAAAGCCAGCTAGCTTAGGGTATAACAGGCAGCTGCCAGGTTTTAGTTAAAAGGGTTTAAGGGAGGAAAAGATAAATGGCAATGAAGACTTCACAGCTACGCCAAAAGTGAGTCATGCATGGTCTTTGGAAAGACAAAATGAAAGGTTGATTGTCACGGTACCGTCAGTGCTTGTAGCGTCTATATTCGGCAAGCTAGTGAGATTCGGGGAGGTGAAAAGGGAAAAGAGCTTTTTTGCAGGGATGAATGAGTGTGGTCGGGTACCGAAGAGGGCTTTCTTCCACGTGACTTAGCGCCACCGGGTGAACCGCCGGCGCAAAAGCGGGGCCATGTTTCAGACAGACTTCGGATCGCCAGGGCGGCCAGCGGTCTGAACAGTAACCCCTGAGCGCTTCCGGTTTGCCCCTGGGTCCCTGCTTTTGCAACCTGCGTTTGGTAGCAGTTAATCGTATTCAGTGGCTGCTGATCCTTGTTTTTGTCTCTATGTGGTTCTATGTAGGTCCGTGTTGGTCATGGAATTAAGAAATATACTTGCTGATGGTACTTGCTCATAGTAGTAATAATAGTAATCCTGTTTCAGTTCTTCAATATTTTAGTGGTGTCCAGAGAGACTGTGGGAGTACAGGAGCGGATCCTGGATTTCACAATGAATCCTTCCCACGTGTCCATACTGTATTGTCTCCATCTCAGAATATAATTCAAATTATGCACATATGGAGTACTAGATAACTAAGTACGTACAATGTAAAGCATGCTCCTATTGAGAACACCTATAGGAGCTAGTGAATGGCCCAATAATATATATTTTCTCCACTTTTTATCATCAATTTATTCATGGTGTAGAGTACGGCAATGTACGGAGTTGTCCGAGTAAAAAAGAAAAGAGAGGGAGCGAAAATTGCTCAATGTATGGAGTACGGAGTACGTAACGGGTAACGGGCAAAGTCATAGGTATCTTAGAATAGATGGCAGGTTTTACTTTAGCATTCCAGCAATCCAGCAACTATTTTTGTTTTGTTTTTCTCTCTTTTTTTTTATTTTTGCTTCTTTTTGCCTTTCTTTTACTCTATTATTTAGGTAAAGAAGATACCTGGCGGGGCATTGCCTATATATGTGTCTATCTTCCTTTCTTATTCTCTGGTACAAATTCCTTTTTATATCATCCCCACTAGCGGTATCACGATGCCATGTGTGAACCGTGGTAGCAAGTCCACTTGAAGCTCAGAAGGATCAGCCGATACATGAAAAATGGGGATCATTTGTTTTTCTCTCATTCTTTTCCCTCACAGACTAACCTGTTCCGTGCAAACATTCAGATATTACAACACAATCATAAAGAAAATGATGAACAATCAGGACAGATAATTTTGACTTTGAAATGTATTAGTGGTAACTGATAGTCAAGCCTACTTAAATACACCCTAGTGATGCTATGACCGTCTCCGCGCCAGGCACCTCGTTCGCGTCGAGCCCACTGACCGTTGATTCGCTCATGCCATGGAACGGTGCCCCAGCGGGATATCCGGTCGACCAATACATCGCTGCAATTACTGTATCTTCGTCGGAGCGTACATCATCCCGCCCAAGGCACCAGCTGCCAGGCCCAATCTTTTAGGCCAATCAATGACGCCACTCTATTATTTGGATGGGTCTTCCCGATCTTTCGGTGTATACTACCTAACCCTTGTACACATTCACTTCCCTATACACCATGTGTTCCTCTGCATAGTCTATTAGGGGGGCTATGGTAAGCCACAGAACACCATGATGTATAACCTATAAGCCTACTTATTATTAGATAACCCTACAATCTTAACTGTTGGGAACTACCTGAGTCATGAACAAGGGAGTACAAAGTAGACAGGATTATATCATCAAACACAATGTAACTATCTTCCAATGACCTGAACATGTTCTGATACTTCAACTAGCTCGACGATCGGTCGGTGGGTTGGACCAAACGTCACCCTCGACACAAGAAGCTAATTCTCTCTCTTCCTTCTATTTTATTTTATTTCTAATTTTTTCGCCCCCTTCCTTTTAATTTGGTTCATACGATTACTTTCCAACATTGGCCCTGGGGTAAATCGTAAACTTAGAAAGAAGAAAAAAGAAAAAATATTAGATGAAGAGGAAGAGATCTGTATAGGGCACTTGAGGCCTCCGTACATAACTTCCGCCGCGTCTCTCACGGAAAACCCCATCGGTGCACTAGATACAAATAGGCTTTTCCATAGCGCTCAAAAAAGCCACGCAGTACGGATTACTAGCAATTCTGGAGCCTGGCACAACGCCAGCTCCACTATCAGTTCGCCCCCTTAAAGAACGGAGGCTTCTTAGCCTGACACACTGCCGCGCTTGCATAACGCTGTCAAGGAATGTGTCGAGTCTGAGCACTTACAGAACCGTGCGAGAATCACTCTCTCGTGTCAAGGCTTTTGACGACAAATCCTCTCGTTCCCATTCATTTCAATCTCGTTTCCATTCATTTCAATCTCGTTTCGGTGTTAAATTCCTGTTTTTTATTGTTTTAGTTTTTATTCTTAGGTAGCCTTCTGTCCTCACTTTAACCATCCGACGATAGCACGCTAGTCGCTCCTCTCTTTACCGACCGCCCTCTGAACGCCGCTCCGCAGCCCAACAATAAAAAAAAAGTCAAGGGAGAGAAAAAAAAAAATAGGACAGCATTACTTGAGTTCAACTGTGACCAAGGAATTCACAAAGAGTACCGTTGGAGAAGAGACAAGTGTGGATTGGAAAGAACTTCAATCAAGACAGAAGCTCTAATTCATAATATGAGGGGCTGCGCATTCTGGTATGTTAAGATGTTTAGATACCCTCGTCTGCTCTTGGTGGTAGGATGGTTATGGATTCAATCGACTGTTCTCTCCTATAACCACATGATAAATTCACTTCGAATCTCTCCCTTCTTCTTGACGCATACCAAGGGGTAAACCATGACGATGTCAGCCTTCGTGATGGCTTCATGCATTCATAGCCCCCCTTCCCCTTCTTTTATCGACGCTCCTTACCGTTAATTGCTGCACGCCACTCTTTCTTCCTATCTCTTTAACGCAAAGCCATCTTTGTTTCTGGCCTGGATCGCTGATGACCATGCAACTATTTCTTAGACGCGGTCGCTCCGAGATATCTTCCACGTACGATCATTGTTTGCTTTGACAGCGTTTTCGACACCGACATTTAGGAAACTTATTGGCAAGGCTGGTCCCGTTGCAGTCGGTGTATTTACCGTGCGATCTCTCCCGATATACTCCAAGAATACATGGGGATTCACCTCTTCCTGAAAGAAGGGATAAATTTAGGATATTCTCGCCCTAAAGACTTAGAAAGAGCCAACTTTTTTAGAACAAGGGTAAGTTCTAGAATCTGGGGTCTCTCGGTTAGTCTGTTTCAGCATCCCAAAAATACCACGGATTAACTAGGAACTTACGTGCATTCCGTGCTAACATATGATTTTGTGAATAATAGGTCAATCTTTTTTTCCCTTTAGCATTCAGTTAGCGCTTGGTGTATCGCTTTTGCCGGTCTACCCCTGACGATTTGTCCACGCCGTTATCTGACCCGCGATCAACGTCTAAGATGCCGTCTAGACAGTCCACTGTTCTGAATTTAGATCTCAGCCCTTCCACTCTCCAAACGAGCGCAAAGACTTCGTCCCCACATACACCTGGTGCAAGCTCAGATGGGCCCAGTCCCCTGACGCCGCGATCACCCAAATCTTCCTCAAGTTCAACTTTCTTCAAGGGCACAACAATCCGCTCTGTCACACAAGAATCGAATAGCAAAGCAAATAGCCCCATCCTACCAGTTTCCCCCGGCCTTACCGCAGAATCACCTACTCAAGGCGTCACGGCCATTCCTCAGTACCCTCCCTCGCCACGAGATTCTCCTAAACACAGTCGTGACCCTTCTCGTTCGTTCTTTGCGAATTTAAAGGCGCCGAAGGTTTCTCACAGGGCCCAGAGGTCGGATAGCTCTGGAAATTCGGGCGATAAGCCTAGGAGCCGTGGTAGTTCTAGGGATCGCAGAACGCAGATATCGTCAAAGCTGTACGAGTCAACTCCGGACCTTCCCGGTGCCATTGAACGTGCGGCGCAACAAGAGAATAGTAAGCACCTAGTCATGTCTGTCGCTTCCTTTGAATACACTGACACGCATACTAGACAGTCATTCTTCCGACGACAAGAACGCGCAACAAGCGGAAATCAGGCGAGTTGGGACGGAGTCTGAGTCTGGTCATACTCTTAAGAAGAGCAAACCACGCTTTGCCAATCTCCTTTCCCGCTCTCGGTCGATCAGATTGGACGACTCCTCTGTGAACAGGATTGCGCATAGGCGTCCGTCAACCAGCCTTATGAGACTTGAAGAAAGCGCCAAGAGGGAGGCACAAACGCCCCCCAAAGCAGCAGAAGTCAAGCCCACAGGGAACCCTCATGCCCGCAGCTATACAATTGACCGTCTTACGGAAGTCAACGGTGGCCCGATACGGAAGGACAGATATGGCGGGTCAATGGTTCCTTCGGCTTCCCTGAGTCAAGTATCGGGCGCTTCAGCGGCGCTGTTCAATAATATTAAGCAATCATCGAGTGGTGCTGCGGATCGAATTGGCAAGGCAGGAAAGGGATTTTTTGGGAAGATCACACGGAGTGGCAGTACCAATGAGCGGGAACTCATTAATGATGACAACTATGTTTGCTCCGTGATCAATTTGCCGCTTATCGAACAAGCCCGTCGAACCCGTATCGCGAAGCGGCTTGAGGATTGTAAGGATAAGACTGAGTTTTGGATGCCAGCTTTACCGTATCGTTGCATTGAGTAAGTTCTCGCGCATTTCCGTTCGAATGGGCGGGTTACTGACGTTACATCAGCTACCTCAATTTTAAGGGCTGTGAGGAAGAGGGACTTTACCGTGTTCCGGGTAGCGGAAAAGAAGTCAAGCATTGGCAACGGCGCTTTGATACTGGTAAGTCAAGTAGGTAGACCTTTGCGAAGTAAGTGTCTTTTAACATTCATCCAGAGCTTGACATCAACCTCTTCGATGTACCGGACCTCTATGACATCAATACGATTGGCTCCATGTTCAAAGCTTGGCTTCGAGAATTACCCGATGAGCTTTTCCCCAAAGAAACACAGGCCATGATCGCCGACAAATGCGAGGGCGCAACCACTGCCCCACAGATGCTCAAAGACGAGCTTTCAAAGCTACCCCCCTATCATTACTATCTTCTCTTCGCCATCACATGTCACTTAAATCTTCTGCATTCCTATGTCGATCAAAACAAGATGGACTATCGCAACCTCTGCATCTGCTTCCAGCCTTGCATGAAGATCGATGCCTTCTGTTTCAACTTTCTCGTCTGTGACTGGAAAAACTGTTGGCAGGGTTGCTGGACAGAGAAGGAATATCTTCAGATCGAAAAGGAAATGGACGAAAAAGAAAGATTAGCGCATATAACACAGGACATTGGTGCGAATTTTCCACAAGCCACGAGTGTGGACGAGAGAGCTATCTCTTCTTCTGGTAGCAGCCAGCCTTCCATTCAAGAGCAACCTTCTCGTCCTGAGACGGCTAAAGGCCGCAAGAACAAACCCAAGAACATTGAGACGTCACATACTAGGAGTATTTCCCAGCTTCCTGAATTAGGACCTCCGCTGTCTCCTATTCAAATATGAGAACACCCCAGCCAAGAGCCACTGTTCAGTTTTGATGGGTTGAGCCCTTAATCCGTTGATATGAGCCTTCTAGATTTTCTTATGGGTTGACGCACATAGATTCCGGCATTGCATATTTGAGCTCTTCGGCCAGGCTGGCCTGCGCACATCTCACTATTTCTTTAAGATTTGAGACCTGAGAATTGCCAGTTCAAAGTCTCGGATTGGATCCGCACTGCAGGCGATATTCTCCTCCGTACTTCGAACCCCAATCTTCGCTATCTTTTTCTATTTTACTTAATCGATTTTCCTGGCTCCTTTGCTCCATTCACGTCTGTTTGCTTTCTG